TACACATCACCTCCATCCTCTCTCTCTCTCGAAAAGCAGCATCACTTAGCGAACGCATCATCACCACCCTGTACAGCAGATCTTTCTTTCTCGAGCATAGCATTCATCAGCGCCGGGCGTCTCTTTCCAAATCCCCCCTTGTTCACCAAACGCTAGCCGCGAAAAGCCGATGTCAGCTTTTGGCATTCAGTCGCTACAGATACCCGACGCCAACCTCCTCACAGCGCGTCAACCCATCATACCTCTCCCACAAACGCCTACCTCCTCCTCCGCTCTCTCCTCTCGAAACGAAGGAGTCTCAGTTGTAAATAGAACGCCCACCTTCTTACCCCACACTCCCAACGCACCACTTTCTTTTCTCATACACTCTTTTCTTTTCCCACCAAACCATGTTTCCCGATATCTCTTTTTTTTCCACATACTTTTCAACTTGGTCTGTGTCCAAATGTATCTTTGGAAATCGCAGTATCTTGTTGATGATCGTCGTTATTGTTGTTGTCGTTGTCTCAGATCTACGGGTCTGGATATGTTTTTGCTTGTTTTGAAATGGCGTCGTCGTGCAAGATGGTTGGAAAGATCTCTCTTCGCTGTCTTGGTCTCGTCTTGTTGTATGTAGCTCGCTTGTCGAGTGGGGAAGTTGGGAGGGAGGGAAGAGGGAAGTTGGACTGGCTTGACCCTGGATGTGCTGGGTTGCTGGTGCGAGGGACACGTCTATTGTTGACGTGGTGGCTGAACTGGTGGATTGGATCGGACGTTAATACTTTAATGAAAGAAGCGAGTGTCGTACCAAATCATTTCGTCTGCCTGTGATGTTTGCACTTGTGAAGGAAATGTGTTGATGCTTAACTCATATCCTAGTGAGATGTCTGGTTCTAGTGGTTAAGTGTACAGTTAGTTTGCATGGTAAGCCCATCCAACGTCGTTCACACTGGATCTTCACATGGACATGTACACGAGACGCAAACTGGCTGCCATGTCCTAATCATTACATCTTGACCAAGCATCAAAAACAAGTATTCGTAGAGAAGAGCGTGTGAGATCGCATCGTTGAGATATCGCCCGAGAGACGAGAGATATCTCAACGATGCGATCTCACACACCCTTCTCTACGAATACCCTCCCATGTACAAAGTCTAAAAGTCTATCGCTCCGCAAACTAACCATCCCACCACCAAAACACCCCCTCTAATTAACAACCCTCTTCATCTGCGCCGCCTGCCTCGGCTCAATAAACAGCGCCTCCGCCTCCGTCAACACAACACCCTCCTTCTCCTCACTCCCCAGTGTCATCAACCGACCCTTAACCCACGCCTTCCTGCCCTCAACCTTCGTTGTCTCAGCCCTTAACACCACAATCTGCCCCGCCATACACGGCGCCTTGTAATCGATCTTCAAACTCGCCGTCACACCCACTTTGTTCGGCAGCGCGGGGAAGCAGCATCGTGCTAGTCCCTCGTCGAGGAGTGTGGCTAGCAGGCCGCCGTGGACGATGCCGGGGTGGCCGCACAGCGCTTCACCCAGGTATTGCAAAGATACGAATTCAGAGCCGTCGGCTGTGCTGAATTGGATTGGGGGAACGGCGATTTTGTCGGGGCCGAGCAGTGTGCCTCCCGTCAGGTTCTGCGCTCTTAGTCCCTCTGGTATCTTGAGATGCGGCCTTGAGGCAATGTATTTAGGGTCCTCCAATAACGACTTTGTGAGGGGATGCTCGAATATGCTTCGTTCTATCTCGGCAATGGCTTCTGTGCTGGGCTCGAAGAGTTCGAGGGTTTCGGCGTCGGTGGGCGGGTTCGCGAGGTCTTGGAGGGAGGCCATGGCGGGGAAACCGGCGATTACGAAGCCGCTGGTGAGTGTGAGGAGGGTAAGGGCGAGGGCGATGGGGATGCGGATGTAGATTGGTCGTTTGGGTTTTTGGGAGGAGGAATTGGGTGGTGGTGGAGGCGGTGATGTGGATTGTGCGGTTTGCGATTGTTCTGCTGCTGCTATAGAAAAGTATTAGTTTACTAAATTCTTCTTTCTCGAGTCTTCCATAGCGATAGGACATAGAAGTTGAATTTAGACCGGGTATTGGGAATGAAACTTACAAACACTACTCGTCCACCTAACAATCCGTATCCTATCTTCCAGCCCACCCCCAGCCGGCCCTCTCTGTCCTTTTATACAACCCGGGCGGACTTCGCGCAGCGGGGCCAATGCTCTGTATGCCCCGAAACCTAACACTCTGCTGCGACCCACATGCCCAGATAAGGCAGACCTTGCGGATATCATACTTACGTAGTAGTCAGACGCCTAGAATCTCGCGGCAGAGACTTTTTTTCTTTCGGCTAGGCTAGAGGGTAAGTCGGCGGTGAGCACGGTTTGGTAGTACAGTCGGAGGTTCCGCGCATGCGCGCGCGTTCGGTCCCTGAGCTCGGACGCTCTGCGGAATAGGAAGTGCCGAGGTTCAGAAGGTGGGATGTTGTTGGCTGCAAGGGCGAGGGAAATTTGGGACAATGGTCGCCAAGATGGTGTACTATTCATGGGTTTTGGAATGGTGTGTATTTGCATCTCTTGGTACGTACTTCGGCCGATGATGGTGAATTAGCTTATGGCGTAGGTGCCCCTTTAAGTTGAACGGGTTGTCGTCGATGCCCGCCTATGTATGCTGTCGACTCAAAGAAACCTCACAGTCTACACATGAACTGTACATCACGATGAAAATAGCTCGAGACGATGTATCATGCGTGACTTGAGATTTGATTATCCCAGTTCTGTCCTTGGAAACTTGTTCCACTTGCTTTACACGTGGTATTTCCACTCCACCAATCCATCAAGTCATCATACTATACATACAGAGTAGAGAAGTGCGTCATGTAGAACGCCATACTCATCTACGGCGTCCGTCTATCCACTTCCATGACCCAGGTGACGAAACATAGCAAACCCGTATAGGGACCGGAGACTACAAAAACAGAGCAACAACTGTCTTTTTGGACGCCAAAGATGCAGCAAGAACATGACCACCAACATTAAGGTGTGGTGAGAAGGTAGTGTAATCGTACAGGGTGGAACGCAGAGGGAAGGAAAAAGAGATTAGTGGCGACTCGCTCAGTAGTAATCCCTGGCACTCTTCTGCAGTTCGATCAACCTCCATCCTCGTGTCTCGGGGTTGTTGACGTCTTCTGGTATCCTGGTGACACCAATGGCGTATGTGACTTGCTGGACCTTGTCGTCCATGCCAGAGGCCAGTTCTCCTGACTTGGCGTTGCGGTAGACGTGCACTTCTTGGGTTCTGCAGGTAAGGATGAAGACGGGGATCTCTCCTGGCTCCAGCAGCTTTGCGTTCAGGACGTCGACGCCACGAATGTCGACAATCTTTCCGTCAGACTTGAGGCCAGCAGCCTGGTATTGTTGCATCAGCGCTGCGTATACTGAGTATTGCGCTGCTGATAGCCACTCCTTTAGGACGGCAATGTCGCCCTTGACGTATGCGTCCAGGACTTCTGGGAGGATGTATTCGCGCATCTCGGTCAGGAAGGGCTCCATTTGGAAGTTAGGGTCCATTTCTCTGAATCGCTTGATGACCATGGCCGTCTCGTTTTCGGCGAAGAAGCCGGTGATGCGGTCGGAGATACTGCGAGCGGTCTCGATGATGGCGTTGTCAGACTCCCTGTAGACTGTCTTCATGTTGAAGAAGCCTTGGGCGAGCTTGGAGTTGTCCTTCCATTCTCTCCAGACTTCCTTGTACTTGGCGTCCTTGTGAAGGGTGACGTTTGTGCCAGCACTGATAGTTGTTAGTCAAAGGTCTTGGTCTTCTGAGAAATGTCTTACTTTGGGTCCTCCTCCATTGGGCCCAGGGGTTTGCCGCCAGTTCGTTGGAGCTCGTTGAGTTCGCGCAGCTCTCGCCTCTTCCTGCGCTCCTCCTTCTCGACCCAACCACCGTATCTTGATGAGCTGCCATCGTCGATGGTCTCCTTCACGGCCTGGAAAGCCTTGGTCTGTCGCACTGGCCGAGTTGCGTACTCAAGCCCAGTACCCGTAACCCTCGCAGCAGCACGAACGCCCTTGACGGGCATGGTGTCCCATGTCCACGCCGCACCATGACCAACAGCTGATGCCGTCGCCTTCAATGCCTCCGTGGTCTTTGTCTTGGCAGCCTCAGAGATCTGGCCGGCCTTCTGGACGTTTGGGTTCTGCTGGAAGTCGTGCAGCGCACCACCCAACTGTTTTGTACCCTCATTCCAGTCCTTCGAGGCCTGGAACTCTTGCTTCAAGGTCTCGGTGAAGACCTGCCATGGTGTCTTGTCGCCGTGGGGTGGAGGTGGGGGCGCATCCTTCTTCTCTTTCTTCTGGCCCTCTTCGCCCTCCTTCTGTTCACCAGCTTCTTCCTCTCCGTCCTTCTTCTCCTTGGCTTCCTCGCCCTCTTTCTTTGCCTGGTCGCCTGCAGCCTGCTCAGAGGTGCTACCCTCGGAGGTTGTTGATTTGGTGGTCTCTGGCTCTCCTTCCTTTACGTCTTTTTGCTTTTGCGCTTGCTCGTATAGGGCGGGCCGAGAAGAGAAGTGGCGGGCGTATGCGGATGACGTGCGGAAGAGGACATCTTGGGGCAAGAATTCGCTGCGGAGGAAGCGTTGGGAGGAAGGCGTAGATGTGGAAGGTAGTGACGTGCGTGTGGAGGAGACTTGCGATGTTCTTGGTAGTGTTGATATCCGTCTATACGCTGCAGCTCTTCCGCATGCGCTTGCAGGCGTAGCAGCGGCGGGTTGTATGCTCCATCGCGCAGTGGCGGCAAATGTGCTTGCTGTCTGGGGCCTCATGCTCTGGACTTGAAGGCAATTGGATCTGGGTATTAAATTGAAGTAGGACCGGCCCAAGCAGTGAGCGTTGGAAGGTGGGCGCGGCGAAGGTGGGTGAGAAGCATCGCCATCTTTTTCCGAATGCCAAGCCAGCCTCGCAACCTTCTGCGACTTTCTAGCAAATCGCTGCATCCCCGAACCTCAATCGGGGCATCTACCGCCTTCAACATGGCCAGCAACACAACTCTACAGACGTTTCGATCCCTCACATGCTCAATTCGCTCATCATGTCGACACACGCAACCCCTGCGACCGTTTTCGCACAGCACACGAGTCCTCGCTGCAACTCCTCCCTCCTTCCGCAAGAGGCCTGAGAAGAGTCTCGACCAGCTGCTCAGCAATGTAGATGAGAACTTCAGTGGCGCAGCCCCCAATCCATACAATATGATACCCGGCCAAAACCCAAACGACCCTTCTTTCAAGAACCTCGCACCGCGCGAATGGGACGAAGACGACAAACACAAACTCCATGTTTACGCCACCAAGCACAACACACACCTGTGCCTGACACAGCCAAACCGAAACCCACTGATCTCGGTATCTTGCGGAAACATCGGCTTCAGGAAAGCGGGGCGCGGAACATACGATGCAGCCTATCAATTGGCCGCCTTCCTCATGAACCGAATCCAGGACAAGGGCCTGCTGCCGCAGATTCAGAAGTTGGAGTTGATATACAGAGGGTTTGGCGCAGGCAGGGAGGCAGTCACAAAGGCGATATTGGGTGCTGAGGGAAAGAGGATACGGCCGCTGATTGTGAAGCTGGCCGACTCGACGAGATTGAAGTTTGGTGGTACAAGGAGCAAGAAGCCGAGGAGATTGGGTTAGAGACTGCTTGTCGAGCATGTGGGGATGGAAATCAGACGAAGTGTACGATGATAGTGGGGTTCACTAGGCGTCATGGGTAGAGGCAATGAGCACTTGGGCATGCATCACAAGAGCAGTGTGTAGTGGCCAAGGCATATCAGACCAATTCAAGAGTCATGTCAGATTTTTCGGCAGTGGTGCCCTTTCAGCGGGTGGAATAGTCCGACCACTAGAATCCGTTTCCGCGATGTTGACAAGCCTGGGTGCAAGATTTCCAGCCTCATACCTAATAGGCCCTCTTGCGCTTCCTTGATCACCACGACTACTTCCAGCAGAATAGCCCGCGTTTTCCCAGCCCCTTGCTTCCTCAGTTGTCCGATGGCGTTCTCGTTCTCGATCATGACGTAGCATCGACGCTCCTTCGTCTTCGAACTCTTCGTCAAGCAACTCTCCATCAGCAGTATCATAATCCGGTGGCGCTATCCATTCCCGTGGTACAACGCATGGTAGAGCGACGCCGATGCTAGCGGCGCGATTCAGATAGCTCGGAGCTGGGCGACCCGTGAGCCTCTCGCAGAGGTAGGAAGTGAAGTGGTTGCAGTTCTTCGTGAGGAGGTTGTACGATGTTCCTTGGAACTCGTGTGAGGCCTGTAATTATTAGCTAGTTTCTTGAATATACATATGTCCTTGCATACCTCTTGTATGATAGCCTCTAGTTCTTCTTCAGGCCGGAAAGAGAAGCCATGTAGGATCGCCTGCTTGAACGTGCCACCCGGTGGTTCTTGCCCAGGCTTCGTCCAGTACACGCCTGTCAAGTCGCGCCGGTCATGTCCGCCATATGCATATTCCCTGTCGCCAATAACAACGCCTGTGTGAAGCAGCGAGCTGCCGATTGCCCAGAGTACGGTTGCGACCTTGCCGGGCGGTAACAGGTCATAGACGTGTATGGAGACCTCGGTTCTCTGCAGTGACAGCGTGGTCCTATGTTGGCTGGAACTTTTGCGCGACGGTTTGGGACGGGTAGAGGATGACATTGTCTATGGCTGTAGTGATGTATGTACAATCGAGTGTGGTATGTATTGGGGTAGGTCTCTACGTCGGTACCGAATAAGAAGGGTGGGGTATCATGGACGCTGTTAAGGGACGATGAGTGGTGCGAGGTAGTGGTACAATGACGGCAGGGCGGAGGTCAGTGAATGGGGCCAGCCCTGGGAGTAATATGCGGAGGGACAGGTGTGGGGGAGCAGATGGAGATGGAGGTCGTTGTAGCCATGACCGCCGGTTTGGCGCTCGAGCACAGCTGGATACGCGGCTTCGGCGCTTGCTGCTTCAAGCAAGCGCTGCACGGACGCCGCCCTAGCCACATAAACTTAAGAAAATTCGATTGGACTCGCTGCACCGTCAATTAACCCAGGAAACGCAGGAGAGCGGCTGCTAGGTAGCTCTCCCACCCCTCTATTTCATCACGCCCCCCACCAGGCCTCTCACCTTTTCTTTCTCTTCTCTGATACCCACTTTTTACAACCCGGCAGCAAGCACTGCCTGCTTTTTCCCAGCCTCTTTGCACTCTTCATCTTCCCCCACCAAATTTTTCCTTTCCTTCACTGCAGCTCGCACCTACGCGTCCGCGCCCAAGAAGAAAAAGATGCCTCCCAAGAAGCAGGTCAAGGAGGAGAAGCTCCCGCTCGGCAGGCCGGGAAACAACTTGAAGACTGGTATCGTGAGTGAGAGCCATACCTAGCTGGTCTTGTCGCGTTCTCACATTAACAGTGATTGCCAGGTTGGCCTAGCAAACGTCGGCAAGTCGACGCTCTTCCAAGCCATCACCAAGTGCTCCCTTGGTAACCCCGCCAACTTCCCATATGCCACCATCGACCCAGAAGAGTCGCGCGTCATCGTCCCAGATGAGCGCTTCGACTGGCTAGTGGAGCACTACAAGCCCAAGTCGGTCGTGCCTGCCCACTTGACCATCTACGATATCGCTGGTCTCACGCGCGGTGCTTCCACTGGTGCTGGTCTCGGTAACGCCTTCTTGTCGCACATCCGCGCCGTCGATGCCATCTTCCAGGTCGTCCGATGCTTCGACGATGCCGAGATTATCCACGTTGAGGGTGACGTTGACCCCATCCGTGACTTGGACATCATCGCCGAGGAGCTTCGCCTGAAGGACATTGAGTTCACCGAGAAGGCACACGCTGCGCTTGTCAAGGAGACAAGGAGAGGCGGTCAGAGTCTGGAGATGAAGAAGCTCAAGGAGGAGCAAGCCACAGTTGAGAAAGTCCTCGAGATGCTCAAGGACGGCAAGGATGTCCGGAAGGGCAACTGGTCGCCCAAGGAGGTATGTACATCTCACTCCCTCCCCCTGCACACCCCGTTACAAGATGACAAAGAGCGATTGCTCTATAATCCCAGCTCTCTGATGGCCCATTAACGCTGGGCTATTCTGAAGTGAAGTCCTTCTCTGATTAACAACATCCCAACCATACTATCTATATGGAATACCTTTCGCAAGCTCTTACTAACAGTTTGCTAGGTCGAGCACATCAACCCTCTCTTCCTCCTCTCCGCTAAGCCCGTCGTCACTCTTGTCAACCTGAGCGAGAAGGACTACATCCGCCAGAAGAACAAGCATCTCCCCAAGATCGCCGAATGGGTCAAGACCAACGCCCCCGGTGACCCAATCATCCCCATCTCCGTACAGCTCGAGGAGCGCATCGCCGTCATGTCTGACGAGGAGGCCGCTGAGGAGCTTAAGAACCTCGGTACCAAGTCGGCGCTGCCCAAGGCCATCCAGGTCATGCGCAAGGCCCTTCAACTTGGTAGCTTCTTCACAACCGGTACCGACGAAGTCCGACAATGGACAATAAGGACTGGCACCAAGGCGCCACAAGCTGCTGGTGTCATTCACGGTGACTTTGAGAAGACCTTCATCCAGGCAATCGTGTACAACTACGCGGTGCTGAGGGAAGAGGGTGATGAAGCCACTTGCAAGGCCAAGGGCAAGATCATGACCAAGGGCAAGGACTACGTTGTCGAGGATGGTGATATCCTCCTCATCAAGGCTGGTGCCGCGAAGGCATAGACAGCTTGATGAGTCTTGGTTATGTGTGTATGTGTTTATGATCTACATGCGCGTCTTATGACGAGCTATGTGAAAAGCAGCTAGACTGCCCTGAATGAATGAGAATAAACATGATCACGAACAAATCAACTTTTTCCCATGCTGTGATATGTGACTACTCTTCTATTCCAACATGTTACGCAAAGCTGGAAGACTATTCAGTAGAAGCCTTCACTCAGCTCCTTCTCACCCCTCTGCCAGTCTGCCTACTTCGCCTTTCCCTTCGTCTCAACAAGCATCCAACTATTCCCACAGACGCAGTGTTTACTCAACCCGAGCAAGTACTGAGAATGCGCAGGAGTATAACCCGCCAAACCCGGCACAACATCCTCCATACAAGCACCACACCTCGTACACTGCTTGAGCAAATTCTTCTTCTTCCTGCCCTCCCCATTCGCCCCCGCACTCTGAATACTATCACTCCTGCTGCGATTCCCGCCACCCGTCGCCGACCCCACCGGATGCGTCCACGTGCCCGTGCCCCGAATAATCATCTTCTGACACACATCCACCACATGCGTATCGTGCCAGTACCTTGCGCGCTTTGAGTCCGTGAAGCCCAGCCACGTGGTATCGAAGAACATAAGTCTACCCATGTCGAGCTTATCCGCGAGGCAAATTTGCTGCGTCGTGCTCTTCCAGAGGTAATCCGTAACGAGGCGTTTAGCGACAGGGAAGAGGATGTCTGGGATTTTTCCGAGGAGGAGCTCGCGCTCGATGCTGTTGCGTTGCATGTCCGTCAAGTTACGCTGCTTGTATGTGCCGCGGACGTGGCTCTGTGTCTCGGTGAGCAGCTGTTCGTAGTAGCGGTAATCGAATGGGAGTTCTGTTATAGCAGCATAAAGAGGAGCGTATAGTTTCTTTGCTTCAGGCGTTTGCGGCGGTGCATTGGGGTTCCCGGCTGCGGAATTGGGCAGCGTGACGTAGGCTGCTGCGCTGCGCGAGAGCCACGCAATAGGTTGGAACCAGAGTTTCATCATGGCGCGGGGGAAGGCGGACAGGATGAGGAGGAGCGCGGGTTTGTTGAGCTCACGGATTTTGGCCTCAAGGACGGGACGCGTGAGGTCTGCTGGGGGTATGTCGGATAGGGCGCGGCCGAGGGCGAAGAGATCATCTAGGATGTAGGCCATGAAGTGCATTGTCCATCTGCAGGTTCCGATCATTTGGGGGACGGCTTCGGGTCGGAGGTTGCTCTTCGATGGGTCGCCGTGGAGGCGGACGATGGTGGTCAGGGTTTGCGTGACAAATCTGATGTTGATGAGTTGCCAGGCCATCTTGCTGCTCAGAGAACGGTCGATGTTGCCTTGGAGGCCGAGGATGTTCATGGCCGAGAGCGTCTTTACGAAGAAGGGGCTGCGGCCGAGGAGAAGGAAGTGGTTGCTTGATGTGTCGTCTACGCCACAGTCGATGTTGACTTGCAGTCCTTCGAAGAGGAGGTTGATGAAGTCGTGTTTACGCTTGTCGCTCAGGGAGCTGACAAGAGCGAAGATGTCGTCGCTGGAATAGTATTGGTTTGCTGCAGACGAAGACTGTAGAATGAGTGCTGCGAGAGCGGCGGCATGGCGGGGATCGTCATCGTCTGATGAGAGGGTGCCGTGGGAGTACTCCATAGAGCGCAGCTTTGGGCTACCATCCAGTTGCATACATACCGCCAAGCAGTGGTTGGGTGATAGGGCGACGTGTAGCGAGGGTTCGGCGTGCTGGAAGACGAAACCAGCTTGTAATAGCGAGTTCACAGTGTCGGTATTGCCATCTGGCATGACTATCTCCATGGTCGATCGCTTCCTGAACTCGATAGCCCCGTCGCTGTACGTGAATGCCAGAAGCATGCTGTACCATATCGGGTAGAATCCTAATACGACAGCATGCAATGAGAAGTCAGGCTGTCTCTTTAGAAGGA